TCCCAGGACTTAAATATGAGTTATTGTCGAGTCTCTAGCTGGTGTATGAATCAAACCTTCCCGACCCCTCCCGATTTTCGGCTCTGCGTTGGATTGTTAGAAACGATATAAATAAAATCCCTCTTCAAAACTCTCTGTACTCCTTATCGATTCAAGGAGTCAACGATTATCTGACTGACTTTATAAATAATACCCCAATGGTTTTTTTTTATCATCGATAATTATTCTATGAACAATAGTATCGTCCAAATGCGAAATCACGACGAGTCTTGGTCTTGCACATTAAAGTTTGGTATTGCGCAAGAGTCTCACAACAGTCTTGCAGTTACCTATTAGCTTATTACTATAGAGATATTACTGTATTATTTCAGATAGGAGAAACAACTAAAAAAAAAACCTGTACCACTACAACCCATGAAGGGTCTTGGGTTCAGTACTATTTAGGGAAAGCATTGTTTCTTGGTCTGCTGTTGTGCAATGAGCTGATTTGACCGAGATCACGTTTAACCGCCAGGTTTTTCCCCTTCTTCAAGTATTTTAAGTAAGGGTACCCACTTTAAAGAGGTTGGGGGCCCCAAGAGGGTCTACCAATACAGTGTCGCCCCACATCCAATGAAACAGAATAAATAATTTCTCTGCCATGACCCGAGATTGGAACCTGGGACCTTTAGCATTGGAAACTCAGTAACCTAACACTGAGCTACCCCACTCCCTCATAACTAAGCCCGAATGAAAAACTGGAAGAGTTAAATGCAAACGTATATTGCTTATATCTTCTTTATAATTCTTTACATATAGTAACTAAAATTGTAGTAACTATTTTGCCTTAAATTGTTTTCACAAAATCGGTATTTTTTTGGCAAGTCTTGGTCTTGCAAAGACCAAGACCGATTTTGGCCAACAATAATGAATTTATATGCATCTGTTGCAACAACGCATACCTGTTGTATTTATTATATATTTATATGTTTTAAGGTTAATAATGAGTATTTGGAAAGCTCTGATCCGGAAAGTTAGCGTCAGAATAATCTATCCGGTCTTATGGCCCCCCAAAATAAAAAAATAATTTATTTTTCATTGGTCCAAATTTGCTTCTGAACGTGATCTTAGCTAAATACTCAATCACAATATGTACTCTTTTTAAATTATAACGTATATCATTTATTAAACATAAGCGCGTATCAAGGAAAAAATTATCATTTAAAGCATTTTTATTCCTTTTTTTTTAAAATTTTTATTCATTGTTATAACAGGACTTCAAGAATTACATGAACATCATTTTATATAACTTGCTTCTTTTTTTCTTTAAGAGTAATTATTTCTATATAAAAAAAATTAATGATAATAATAAAAAATTAATACATTAATAAATTTAAAAACAAACATAACAGCCCACCTAAAATGAAATCCTGAATTCCATAGTTCTAAAGCTTGCCATTTAACAGGTTTTTCTCACTTCTTTGTAATTAAACAATGTATGTTCAACAATGCTTGTTAATTTTGCGTGGTACATGAATTGAAAAGTGCATACATGCAATTTTTTTGGGGGGAAATAATTACTCTTTTCACTTCATCTATTTATTTAAATATTATAAATACAGCGATTAGTGCGTAATTGGCCCATTTATATATATATCTGTAAAAAGGTAGCGAGCAGTTTTCTCTACAACTCAAACTGTTTTAATCGTACATTACTTCAACAAAGTCCATTAACTAATATATTTTTTTATTTACTGTTATACCGTCTCTTTTCAAAATATCCCGTTTTTGGGAGTAGGTTCGTATACAATATTCAACATGAACGGATTATATTTTATAAATTAAACGACTTCAGCCTGTTCCAGTAGATAATTAATAAGGTTTAAAAAAATATATGAACAAGACCATATTAGGATTTTTTCATTTATAAATTGTAGTATTAATGTTAGTAATGTACACAAAATTGAGACTTTAGTTAAATTTACATAGTTCGTTGTAAAATTCTATGAATGCTTATATTTTTTCACAATAGGGTTAGAACATGTGTTAGATGGGCGATGTCACGTGCTCATTCTGCGGAAAGGACAGTCGTGAATGCCATAAAAGTGGCGTACATGGGTCATTACGAGTGGCATAACGTCAAGTATATCCGTTTAGTAAATTGGATTTGCCCACCATTATGAGCGTGAGTGTAGTATGACAATGGAGCCGAGCTGAGAGCATGTGGCGAAATATATGACTAATATGTGGAGGGGGGCAGTACTTTTGTTGTAGGCCACGTGCTAGGGACACCTGGAGCCTCTATGCTGCTAATAACCGCCTTGTATGTATTTAACGGTAGCCCCCACCCACATCTTCATCCCCCCCTCACAGCCTCCCTCCCCCCACCCAGTAGTACACCCCTCCCTCCCTCCCATTCATCACACCTCACCCCCACCCTCGCTGTGGCAAGCGATACCCCTATCTTCCGCCATCCCCTCTTATTCGATTGTGCAGCCCTATCGGATTCATACCAAGTCATTTGACTTCCTCTCTATTGTATGACAGACTTGTATCGTATCATTATTATTTGCCAACAAATCTAGTTTTATCTAATTACAATTCAAAACAAATTATGCAGTCATTTGAATTGATCAAAAGCATCGCCAAGCCATTATTTCACTCACAAGGTCTCACAAACAGCAAACGTTTAATATAAACACATTTTAGATAGTTCACTTGTCACTAATAGCTGCCAATCTTGATATCTATTAATACGTATTTGTTTATTCAAATATCTATGATAAGCAGAGACCGGATTTTTATGGATTCGCATATTTTTTTTTTAACTGTAGACCGAATAATCTTTACGAATGAGTGTACTAAGATGCAATTGTCAATTTTTTTTCATATTTGACGGTAAATGCATATATGAGAATATTTTGATTATTTCAATTCAATTAAAAATATATTTAAATAGATAACTAAATTGTAATATTCAAGAAGAAATATCAGGTTACTATGGCAAGTACATTTTCAATTAATAAAAAACAAATCAATGAAATAATTCTACCTTAAATATTAACTTCTTAGAATTTATATTTTCAATTTTCTGGCTGTCCATTTCTAATAAACAATTAGTTTCAATTTCAGTTTCTTACTGTCTTTACGATTATAATGTTTATTTTGATTTTAAATGCTAAAAGTAAGTGCTTCGTTCTCTTTCACATTGAAGTATTGGATCGACCATTACAATAACAATAGTTTTTGAAACACTTGGAAAAGTCGTTTTCGCATCAATCGTTAAAAGAAAATTATTCGGGAGAACAAGTCTATAATTTTAGTGGATATTTACTCCTATCGCGTCTGTTAATGGAGAAAGATCATTTCCTTATTGTAAAAATATTTCAAACGAAAGAAAATAGGGTTTTTTAGAAACAAATTTAGAAATTCACTATTTCATTTTAATGCAGTCACCATTAATCCATTTGCATGTTATTTATTTTTTCATATTGTCAAATAAGTTTTAATTAAAATGTAAAGATATAGCCCAAGTATGCTGAGTTTGAGAAGGCTGGTTAAGGCGACAAAAGATCTACAAAGTCCATAATGACAACATGAAAAAAAATAGAAACTTGTATTCCTTTATGAAAACGAAAATACAATAAACAAAAATAAAATTAAGATAATTTCTATTTTTAATACTACATCTGATTTCTTTTGTTGTTCAGAACTTTTTGTAGAAACACATGTTTAATTATACATTTTAGCAGTATTATTACATACATGGATATTTTTAAAGGCATATTTTATGTTATTAATTCATATTTCAGGATTTTTAATTGTATGTTATACGGCCTATTCTGCGGATTTTTAAAGAATTCCAGAATTTACAGAATAAAATTCCAGGCTTAGATGATAAATAATATCTTGGCACCGAAATTTCTTTTGTAATCTTATTATTCCGCCCGCTTACTAATTTTAAATGAGTACATTTATAAAATATGGAGTTTACAGGCTAGCGTTACTCTCATTGTCTGGAAGCCGGTTTGCAAAAATTCGAATTATTAATAGCAACTCAAAAACTATTTTGATTTTTGCAATGTAAATAACAAATTGCAATGTAAATAACTGGAAAATGTACCCAAGCCTTAAGGGCTGGAATATTTTCTAAAATAGCAATTTTTAAAGTATATCTATTTTATCAACACTTCGTTTCTCTCTCTCTCTCTTTTTTTTTAAATATATTCAAAACTATATAATTTTAAAAAAAAAAATTCAATTTATCCGACTAAAATCTTTTTGATAGAAAGTATGCTCGAATCGAATTCGAAAATTAATATGATGTGATATTAATGATTGCACAATGTGATTTTAATGATATATTCAAGCTTATTTTATTGAGCTCGCAAATAAAATTTCAGCTCTCTAAGGGTAAATATCGTTTGATAAAGTTTGTTTCATTTTTAAAGAGTAAAATTAACTGTCACAATAGTTGATTAGTGATAGTGAGATAAGAGTTCATTTACAGATTTATAGAAAATATAAATAAATAAAATCAAATAATAAATGGGAACACATTAGACTTAAATTTAAAAACCGACAACTTATCCAATCAGGCTTGTCCCCTTCCTTCCCCAACACTTCTCTCTCGGAAAAAAAAGGAAGATTATATTTTTTGCATCCCGGCTTCCAGATTGCTGAGGATTTTGTAAATTATATGGTAATCTGACATAATGTTATGTTCGGGGAGAATGAGTATCGATCATCTTTTAATAAAAAAAAAAAACATTATGAGATATCCTGATCGCTTCTTATAATTCACTGATAATCTCACAACGCTGAAAAGTATAGCTTTCATTTCAATCTGACGGTAGGATACCCCACTCATACTTGGAGTCGCAATGGCAAGGCTTCCCACGGAATAAAAAAAGAAAGAAAAGGAAGAACGGAGAAATGAAAAAACGTGGAGGAAGGTTGCGAACTGAAAAGCATCCCTGACAGAAGGGCAGTGATAGAGACGTTATAGATAGCGGGTCTTTTCAATATAGAGAACAGTTGAGTGGCCCCGTGTCAAGAGGAGAAATTATAACATTTTCGAGTTGAATAGGATGGCTAGTGAAAAGGGAGCGGTGCCTTTGAGGCGGCGGCCAGGTAGTACAAGTCCTCCAACAATTGATAAGTATGTTTTGAGCCCTCCTCACACCTGTACCCAACTTCAAAGCAAGCCCCTCTAATTCAGCGTATAATGCCCCAATTTCTGCTCACCCTCAACCGGAAAATCCCCTCATTTTCCATACATTGTAATATTTCCCAGGTAGCCATCCCGCTCCTCTTTAATCCTCCCCCGCTGGCTCTTTCACCAATTATCCTAAGGCGGATCCGTTCTCCGGCCGGATAGGAAGCATTAGCGGCAAGCCTTTTCGGAATCCTTCCGATCTTTCTCAGATACGGAGGTTTAGGACGCCGCTATATAACACTTGTTCCTTCTCACGTCCTCTTAATCCGTCTATTGATTTTCAATTTATTAAAGGAAAGGTTCAGAAATCCCGACTGTAAGCTCTGTAGGCCTCAAAGTTATTTCTGTTATCCCTGAAAAGATCTAATCCATTAACATACCGCCAACCAAAGGGGTGAAGACATGTCCTTTGTGTAGATTATGGTATTTACTCGGTCTCTAAGAAACCGGAAATGTTGAAATCCTTCACGAAATCATGTAAAACATTTTAATTTCGTTAACCGTTCTGTGGGAGTTGTGAGTTCCTCCAATATGACTGATATCCAGTAGAAATGAGTCACTTATTTCCAAAATGAACCATAATAGACTTTTATCTTATTGAGAAGATGTACAATGATTTTTTCTAAAGTGAAACTAATATTTAAAAAAATGGTGTTAAAATAAAATGGGAAAATTTCGAAACCGTCCTTTTTTTCAATGTAATGAAATTAGCGTATCTTAAGAATTCTTAAAAAAATAATCATTTTTTTTTTATCATTTTTTAAAAATGAAAATAAAAATTATATCATGTTATTATACCATTATTGTAAACAGTTTTATAATTGGGGTAGAAAATATAGTCTTTCTTGTTTCCTGAAAAATCTTCAACAATGATTTTTTCATAATATAATATCAAAAACCGAGAGGAGTCGTTGATTTTCCGTAATAGTTTTTAGTATAATATGATTATAATTTTAATATGAACTCAATTATATACTATTGTATGATACTATGATATATACTATTGTATGAATGTGGTCAACCCTGTTTGCACCCGAAACAAATTAACATATCCTTCTTTTTAGTGATCTATTCTAAAAACATTTTTAATTTGTAAGTTAGAATTTTATGTTTCGGGATCGTTACATTGAATTTAGATATTTAAAAAAAATATATACTAAGGAGATCATTGGTGTTTAAATTCGTTATTACATTAACCACTAACCCACTGAACATCCCTTACTCCATTATTTGACTTCATATGTTTCATATTAATTTTTAAAAATCAGGAGTGCCCACAAGGGGGTTTCATGATAATTTGGGCTAACAAAATTTTTTTGGGGACACATTTTGTATGGGTATTGAATTTTTTATAGCGGTATATTTTGACGGGATTATGAATTTTCGGAATGGAAATTTTCGAACCAGGAGACAAAGGGAAAAATGTTGCGGAAAAAGTGGTAAGAACCGACTCTTATATCCCGAAAAGAGTAAACTACCCACCTTTGACGATTAAGGATTGGATATCATGAGTTTTCACACGCCTACTTACTTAGAGGACTGGACCCACCAACTTGCGAGAGTTTAAATGTTCAATGAACAGTCCAACACATTACAACACGAAGAAAAAAAAGTAAGACAAAAATTGAATATAGCACAAAACCAAAGAGAAAACTTCAAAGTTTTCAAAGTGCGAAAAAGCGGTGGATTAAAATTTTGAATTTTTAAAAATAATAAAGCTGTATGACAAAGTGTAAATAAAAGATGATGCCAATGACCCTGCTGTGTAGAGAAAACGAAAAAATCCAAATTTATAAATAAAAACAATATACAATAAGTAAATCTGCTATATAATATAATCCTTATCATCATATTGCTCGTGTAGCAAAGACTCATTGACAACACTTCAATTAAAAACTGTAGCAACTATGGAGTTCAGTACTTTGTAAGGAAGTACATTTTCTTGGGTAACGGTTGTGTAACGAAATGATTTGACAAAGATCACACAAAACTAACACGTTTTAATTTTAATTAATTTTTTTAATTTATAGAATCAGGGTGTGCCACAGTATGGTCTTCCGACCCCTGGTTCGATTCACGACTGTTTTTACAAATAAATAATTATGTACCGCAACCGGACTCAAACCCGAGACTAGAGTATAGGAGTGCCGTATCTTTTTCAACGAAGTAATTAAGTTATACTTTTATTATTATTTGGATACCTAATATGTACCTTCGAGGTAAGAAATAACTAACTGTATTAGATGATGTTTAAGTAGTCCAATAAAGGCATATAAAAAAAAAATGTAAAAATAATTTTCTTTTAAACATAATTTTCTTTTTTGACCGGCCCTTACATTTAGCTGCTGTATATGCACTATAATTAAAAAAAAACATATTGTAATTGTTTAAATATTAAGCTTAAATCACGGAAACAAATATGGACCAATGAAAACAAATTTTTTTTTATGGGGTGGGGGAACGAATTCAACCCGAAAGCAACTCCTCCGTGGATCCATCAATGACATTAGCCCTTCAGTTAAACAGAAATTTATGAAAAAAAAAAATTAAAATATATAACTAATTCTTATGGCTTGAAGAAGATTTAAGTTGGGTATGATTGCTTTTATTGCCAAAGTATTTTTAGTAACTGAAAAGGATAAAAAAAAGTTGGTAAGTGGAAAACTTTTACTTTCTACTTTGCCAGTATTTTCGACTCTTGATGGGTATGCAGAGTGATTTTCAAGGACTAGGTCAGCCCAGTGTAGGACTTCAATAATTGGGACCATTACTTAGCGTAGACCTACATACCTTTTGGAGAGTAGGGATCACTAGCAGCAGGCGGCCCAATAGGGCCTTATAGTGCTACCGTAGGGCGGCCTGAAAGGGTTGTTTACAATGTCATTAGTTGGACTGGCTGGTCGGGCCTTTGGTATAGGTAGCCAGGTTAGGTAGCAATTGTCTGCTACAAAGCTGTCCTGGGAACTGCCCATCTCCAGCTACCTCCCACCGACTCGGCGGAGGGGTATCCTACTCCCACTTATCCCTGCCTCTATTTAGCCGTGTAAATGCAACAAAGGACTTCCTTCTAAGGCAAAGGGTTCCCGATAAAGCCATTTGTCCTTTGCGGTAGTTTCCAAGTTGTAAACAAGGGCTTTTATGTTCAAAGTTCGACGGGCCCTTCTTTTAAATTCCAAGTACATTAGCTCAACCATAGGTAGGGATCCTGTCGTTGATCCAACCACTAAATATCTTACTGTGAACACTTTAGAGGTTAATTAAATCAGCATTCTTTGCATAGTATCTCATATTTGTTATTGCGCTATTATTTAACTATGCCCACCCAGGATATTGCAAAACACATTGAAATGAGTAAGATGGTTTATTCTTATTACATTTATAACGTTTTCTTAAAATTATTATTGTATTGTTGTGCCTATTAAATAAGGAGAGTGATGTAAAACATTCTATTTTGATTTCATAATTATTCACTTACGTCTTCTTCATTGTACACACACCCCCTCAATCCCTACAACGCTCCATGCTAATCTCCCATTATATGAAAATTTTTAATCTTCCAGTGCTGGAAGTCATCTGTCAGCTCATTCAGGACGCGTGACTCTTTCTGTTTCAGCAAGAACGTGAATGCAGTAGAGTTGATTAATATTTTGACCTTCAGGGAAATGAAAAATTCCATAAATATTGAAAAAAACAACAACAATCATTTTGATTGGTTTATTCAAGCTTTTTTGGCTCCCGGTGAAGTTGGGTTCTTCTAGTGCATGGATTGGCGCCTCGTTTGAGGATCGAAAGTAAAATACCACGATTCGTCAAGGTGCATCAAAAGGGACACGATTTGAGTCCGTTGAAACTGTTGAAAGAAACAGTGACACGCGCTCTGAAGGAACTGATAGAAGACTATGAGAGATTTGCAGAGAGCGTTATATATAAGAAGAGAGGAGAGGTGTGTATTGAAGCTGATGATAATTAAATATTTATAAAATAAAAATAAAATGTTTTACATCGCGTTATTTAATAACTCCACCAACATGACCAAAGATCAGCCACTGGGTAATTCTCTTCCTCATGCCTATCACGCCCTTTCTTCTAGTTTATTTGTTTATTGTAATCACATTCACAGGTTGTCAGTGAACATTGACAGTTGTGAATTAAAAAAATAAAGAGAAAGCAAAGTTTAATATTCAGGCCTCGTATACATTTGAGCATAAATAGACTGATGTTTTGACACGGCTTATCTAACCGTCGGCAGCACACTAATGACAATTTTAGGTTTAGTTAACAAACTTACGGTTTTGTACATTTATGTCGTTTATGGAGGAAGCATAGGCATCTACATTCGGCGAAATTGCAACATAAGGGATATTAAGGTCTTTGTTGATAATTGCATTTGGAGCGGGATAAGGAGCATTCAGAATTCTACGATAGGTTTTAATTTGTAAGGATAGGTGTTCCTATGAATCCCATGGTTTAGTGCAACCAAAAAGCCCAACTCCATGTGTACTAATAGCCTGATTATTTATTTCAAAGTTCAGAGTGTAATTTTAGATTTGTACGAGAAATGAAATTTGAAGGTATATATTTAAAAAAAAAGTTGGGTTATTTAAATATTAATAAAAAAATGACAACACGGCTTACATAATCTTACAAATATATAAACATTTGCCATAGTCTCAGGGATTTATGTATGAAGAACATATTTTACAATGGTGATATTCTTTAACGCATAATTAATCTAAATAAAATTTCCTTCAATTAGATTAGATATTTCTAAAATTATAATATTTAAACCAAAATCAATGAAGGAAAGATAAATAATAATAACATTTCATTGTTATACAAAATAAAAAAAAAACATAACAAATGTGAACAATAATATAGGAAAATCAATTGAAGGTTTGGTCTAAAAACTATGTCCAAACCTAATATATAAAATATAATTATGTTATATTGATTTGGACCATATTTCGATTCTCCAAATCTTCAAGTTTTTACATTTACAAAAAAAAAAAAAGGAGGTATATGTATTGTTGCTTTATCATTGTTTATTATAGCAATTTCCCGCTGAAAGTCTATGTTTAGTATGTACAACATGTTGAGGGAATCCTGATTATTATAGAAAAAAAAAATAGTTCTCATAACAATTTCAATTTGAATAGATACAGATTTTATTTTTCCTCATTCTACCCAGGGAATTGGAGGTGAGTTCTGGTTGCAATAATATTCTAATTTTGTGCTAACCTATCATTATCCTTCCACAAGCCATTGAAAGTAAAATAGCCTCATTTCAGACATTCCTGAGGGATAGTAATATGATTGTTAATTATAAATTAAGATAATGTTAAAAGAAGCGTATTTAAAACAAGAGGCTGCCTTTAGTGGTTGGATGAAGTGGAAAGTATCCTTAGTATTTCAAAAATATGAAAAATCCAAGCAATTACAAAAAAAAAAAAAAAAAAATTATTAAATAAATAACAGGAATAACAATTAAAGGAATATCAGTTCTGAAATTAAAATTTGATCCCAGAACTTTCAGCTGTTATATTTCTCAAAACGACTACTGGACTGCCCGAAAAATGTTTTTGGTATACTTTTTTGGAATATAGAAGGGTATGAGAATATATATATATATATATATATATATATATATATATATATTATATATATATATATATATATATATATATATATATATATATATATATATTTATATATATATATATATGTGTGTGTAATTTGAATAGCAAATATAAATCTGTTATGTCTAAATGTGACAAAATATTCTTACAAGAAACGTATATTTATAAACGATGATATTCTTCTACATAATTGCTCATAATTTGTTTCATAGTGAGAAGCCTTAAAATTAGTTCATTTATCGTGTCTATAATATAAATATTTACGTTCACCACAATGGGCTATTCTGTCTTCTTCGACTAAGAAGCTCTATTATATAATTGCATATTTGTATATTATCATTTTTACCGACGTAAATATGAAGCCATATAATATCATTGTTAATTTTTTTTTAAATTCTTTTACTGTATATTCATTATATTATTATTTTTTTTTTTTTTTATAATTTTTCCAAAGTACTTTATTAAATTAATGCTTTTTATTAAATAAAATAAAATATTTTTTTCTTTATTTTTTAATCAGTTTTGCACGGAATTACATCCCGACGAAACGTTGGCTTAAAATAAAATATTTTTTCTTATTTTAACTTTTTTATGACCGCCACCCCAGACCATCTCTTTCCTCAATATTTTATATTTTTATTATTAACAAAAAAGTAAAATATCTCCGTTTTATTTCTATATTTATGTACTTATTATTGTTAAATTTTCTGTATGTAATAAATTTTTTCATACGCAAACAAGATACACTGATTGCAATGTAATTTGCCCTGCTTGAGTAATTGCCTATTACTTGAGTATCAGCTTTAAGATATATTTCTTGCTTTTCCTCGTCCCTCAAGTGGTTTTGAAGACATTTTAAGAAATCCTCAATGCTATGTTCCTCCTTTTCCTGGACACACTTAGCTACCAGGCTTAACCAAGTGTGCCCAACCTCTTACTTACTAAGAGATGCTTAGTAGCTAGTAAAGTTAAATAGACATCATTAGCAAGCCAATTAAATAAAGGCGACTCTTAACTCAAATGGTAGTGAGTTAACCGTTACTCTATAAGGAATTAAGAAGAAAATAATTTTTAACCACTCCTGAAAAATTGTTTCAACTCTTTCGAGACGAGATGAATGAATATAAAACTTATATTAAACTTTATTATTATTTCAGGCATATTAAATATAATTTATTTACCTATCGACAAATGCCAAGCTAATTTTTTTCAGAATCTCAGCCCTCAACAAAACAAAATATATTTAATTGGAAAGCATGAAAATGAGGACGCAAATATCAAACTCATTTTAATACAATTCAAATACCAGCTGTTGTTGGATAGACAGTTATATTGTTGGTTACAAGTTCTTGTGTTTGTTAACGCATGAATAATAACGTGAAATTTAATTAATTCTTACAGGTTTGTTTTCGTTTATTTAAATTTGTCATAGTAATTATTTTGTTATCTAATACTATTTCTAGCACACACCACTTATTCATCGACTTTCGAATGGTCTATGATAGTGTAAAGCTGTAGCTTCTAGAAATGGGAATGACACGGAAGCTACGTCTCATTAGGGCAACGATGAAGAAGATGCAATGCATAGTGCGTGTTCAGGGTGACCTGACCGATAGCTTTGAAACCCACGAAGGGCTCAAACAGGGTGATTGTCTTGCATGCCTTCTCTTCAATTTGGCTGTCGAAAGTGCGGTGCGTTAATCTGGAATTCAAGTTGGGGGAACTAACTATATCTCATAGATCTTCTATGATTTTGGCCCTCGCCGATGACTTAGATATTGTTGGAAGAATCCCTACATATTTAGAAAGCTCTTTTATCAGTCTCGAAAACAACTTGTAACCAACAATATAATTGGCTGTCCAATACCAGCTGGTGTTTACATACATATATACCCTATGTTTTCCGATATTATTTGAAAAATAATATATATAAAGATTTCCCTATTTATATCTTATTTTTAAAAATTATTTTCTGCATACTTTGGTATTTAAAAATAACTTCATAGAAATATAAGTTTGAGATGTAATCTCAGTTCAATATCACTCATTAAAAGATTTTATCATAACGTCTGAAATGTATTTTTATCTGGCATGAATAAAAAATTCATGTGAAAATAAAGTAGTCAGTGCGTATTAAAACATATAATTTTAAATTTAGCTTAGAATGGCTGAAAATTATCAAATCATAAATAAATTATGTACGAATTCATTATACAAAGTATAAAAAATATCTGTAATTATTACTTGATTTTTAACGCCTTAATCCAAAATGGTTCTTCGGAAGTATTATTTTGCACCATTTAAATTTTTAAAAACAAAAAACTTGCCTAATATCAAGACTATTGGTAATTTGTATCTACATCGGATTCAAAATTTGTCTCAAATATGATGAATTAGCCATTAGAACTAATAATTGTAAATATTGCTGGAATTGTCTAGGAGCTGAAGAGGTTGACAGATTTCAAAAGCAATTTTGTAGAGGAGTAAAAAGTTTACCTTTTAGTTTTTACTGGATTACTTGTTTATTGCTAAATATTACAACCTGTCTCAATAAAGGACATTTATAATAGAGTTCAGAGAGCACATTCACACCATAACCTTTGAGAAGAAATAACCTTTAACGTTATCAAAGGATTAATAAATGTTATCGAAAACCGCTCGAACAGCAGAAGAAAGGTTTCTGATTTTTTTCAAACACGAATCTGATAATACAGCTGTTCATAAAAAGAGAAAAAAAATTGAAATTGTAATGTTCTTATTCAGTATGACGTTTATGAGTCTTCCTCTACTTTCAAGGTTCCAATATAAGATGACGATACAACAACAAAAACATACATATTCATAATCAACAACACTCAAAACATATTTACTCAAAATCAATATTGTACTAACATTGTTTGTGATATTGTTTTTGTCTTAAAGTCCATATACAATATATTCTCACAATTAAATACAGTATTACTTACAATGCATTGTGAAAAAATATTGTATATGTACGTCAAGACTAAGGAAATTATCATATTGTTAGTGCAATAGTGATTTTGGGAAAATAATTTGAAAAAAAAAATGTAAATATAAATGTAGGTATTGCTTACATTATAGATGGTGTTGATTATGATTTTTTGTGTTGTTTTGTTATATTATCATCTTATATTGGAACCTTAAAGATGGATGAGAACTCCGAAACGTTGGTTTAATCATGTTATGATGAATAAAAACAATGCAAAAAATGATTTTATTTCACTAAACATATATCATTGTTTTATTGAAAAAAATCACAAAGTACATTTTTGATGGAGCTGAAAAGATGTGTAACAGAAGAAATAAAATATAATATAAAAATTAATAAAAGACAAAAAAATACGAACAATAAATTTTTAAAAAATATAACAAAAACACGAAAAGAAGTTTAACAAAACCTGAATAAATGAGACTTGAAATAAAATAAAATATATTAACTAAAAAAAAAAACACACAAACAATAAAAAAAATAAACAAATGAAAAAAAGTATAACAAAAATTCAAGGAATGAAACTTGAAATAAAATAAGATGTAAAAATTCATAAACAATCACTAAAAAAATATAACAAAAATAAAAGTGCAATAAAAACTAAAGAAATGAAAATGGAATTAAAATAAAATATTAAAATTCATAAAAAAAAAAAATACATTCACACAAAAATATCGCTATAAGAAGTACACAATACTTTGATTCCACAAAAAAAATTATTAAAGTTGTTAGTGATTTAAGGATATGAAATGTCACTTAATGACTTTTTGCAACAACTGATATATTTAAAGATACTTCCTAAATATTCGAAACCATATAATGTGGGGGTTGAAAGTTTTCCAAAATGAGGATATTAGAATGGTCCTGTATTTGCTGGTATCGTAGTACTTACTTCAATGCTATGAATATTATGTGGTGGCAGAAGTAAAAAAGAGAAAAAGAAATACACTTGAGGCGAGAAGTGGACGTTAAGTTGCCGTGCTGCCGACAAAACGTTTGCGAGTCCCTCGTTGGCTTTGAAACCTCCATTGAGGAATAAGTGCGAGGAGAATCGAAGTCCTTATCGAAACAATGGTTGGCAAGAGCGATCGACAAAAGGCACTGCGGAAGGGCACGCTTTGGGTGTACCATTGACCACACCGTTCCACTTAACCATACTCGTCACCGACAAAAAATGACAAAGCCACAATCGGTGATAATAAATTGTTGTCGTTGGACAATACGGGCTACTTGAATCTCGCCCATTGTGCACCTCAACAGCTTGGTCCAATTGACTTTTACATTCATTCAATATTGCAATTTGATCATGATGTTGGGTGACTTTGAGCATTCTTCGAGAGACATATATACAAATTTATACAAAAATATGTATTACTGTAAAATAAAGTTTTAAGATTTTTAAAAAAAGTTTCATTTCAAATATCTGAGAAACTTTTTCAAGGACAGTCAGTAACAGTGTTAAACAAACTCTTTCATGAAATATATATTAAAAAAATATATATTCATATTGGTGAAGAAATCGTTGTCTGTAGATAATATAGACCAGTAACCTTGTCATGAAACGTGGAGGGGAGGGAGGTCCAAGTTTCATCGAATGGGGGTAGAAGATTTCTTTTGTTTTCTTGTATGGGATGTGACTGAGATGTAAAATCCATTTTTCGACCTCGGCGCCCCTCCCCCTCTCTCCGGATCACTTTTGAAAATCCCAATAACTGCTTCATTTTCGCACTTTTTTTGTTTTTTCCCCATTTTAACCATAAAGGCCAAGGTCGAAAACTTGGTTTTTGCATCTCAGTTATACCCCATACAAGAAAATGAAAAGAAACCTTCTACCCCCATTCAATGCAACTTACGATATACAAGGTTACTGGGCTAATATGGTTGGGATGTTAGTTGAAGGTTGTAGCCACAGAGAAAAAAAAAATTTCCTATTATAAAAGAATATTCTAAAGTTATTTTTAAATATATATAATGCATAAGGAAGAGTTGTAGTGGTTATTAGGTTTTTTATAATTGAAGGCACCTCTTCCATCGATAAATGTTTATTTATGATCCCCTGTTCCGACGTTTCAGGTTTTTGACCCATCTTCGGGGTGTTCTGGAATCTGGCATTTATTCTGGTAATAAATGGTAGTTTTTTCTTTCTGGTAGTTTCGCAATAGTCTTGCAGTTACCTATTAGCTTATTACTATAGAGATATTACTGAATGAAAAATTAGATGAATTAAATGCAAAAGTATATTGGTTTAACCAATTATTTACATATAGTAACTAAAATTGTCAAGTATTAGTAACTATTTTGACTTAATTGTCAAGTTTAAAAAATCGATCTGAATTAATTTCATGTAAAAAAAAATATTTTAGGTATAAACATAATTTTAATCAATTGACAAAATGTTTATCGTGCACTGTTATGGCAATGAGTTGGTTGTTAAGTTTTTTTATTATATATATAATAGGTAGCAATTACCAGAATAAATTGTTCTGGAAGATGGGTCAAAAACCCGAAACGTCAGAGTAGGCGATCGTAAATAAATGTTTACCATTGGAAGAGGTGCCTTCAATTATAAAAAACCTAAGAATATGCTGTAATTCCACTACAAAACCCAAAATTTTACAGGATGAAGGCAAAGAAGGTGATAAAAAAAGAAATTGGAAAATAATAGCCTGTAGGAACATAGGAACATGTAAAGATGAGGTTGTATGGCGCAAGTGCGATTTTAGTTAAAGAGAACGTTAACTGCAAGAGGAGAGCAATAAGATTTCAACTCAATGAGGGTGACAAATATCATCGCTCTTGGAAAAAATGGACATCCCTGGTGAAGACTATTTATGATCAGTTAATTAGTTAATAGTTATGGCTAAACACAGCAATCCTTGAACATTGCTTCTCTTCAATGAAGAGACCTCAACGCATCGTTCTTCATCAGTCAAGAGCCAAACATATTCACAGCCATAGATTTATATAAAACACCTACCGACCTTGGTAATTGACATATAAACAAAATAATAATAAATAAAACCTCATATGATTTATTCTTTATTGAGATCCACTAATTGATTTTATTTAGTCCAAACAATTATTTAACTATCAAATAAATCTGACAACGTCTTTATAAAATATATACATAAATATATAAATAAAGATATACAGACAAATCTGATCGTTCCTCTGAACTCAGAATTCAATAAAATCTGTCGTAATTTAAGGATAAAAATCATCTTGAACGTTAACAAGAATATGCCTAATAGTTTGGGTAATAAATTTACTACATTTGAGTTAAATTATATAAAGAAGATTAATTTCAATTATTTTGTCTTCCAACGGTTGCCTTAGATTTCTTTTAGAAAACATTTGGTATTTCCTTGATGTGTTTTTTGATAAATTCTTTCGTATTTTTAACAAAACATAACCACAAAACAAAAAAAATAAATAAATAAAAACAGTTGCCAAGTACTGGCAAAATATGTGAGACCAGCGGACACCAAACCACATAACAAAGATAGCAATAATCCTTTGATATAAACAAACATTTATTAGCCCGGGGGACGCCCCGGCTGTGAAAATGACCACTAAAAGAATGAAGGAAATAAATAATGGCTCGAAAGCAGTGAGCGTTAACAAGCGTCAGCGAGCGATGTTGTTTTCCTACCGCCCCATGATAAAGTTGCTCCCATAAATTGCGGCTAAATAGTGTAGCGGCTTAAGTGAAAATCTGACGTGGAAAGTATTTATGCCCCAAACTTAGTCCTGCCTTTTTAGGGTCATAACGGTCTTAATACCATCGTGTACGGTAAACACGCAAACACTAAATGAAAACAGCATCAAATGTGATACCAATATGTTCAACAGATTTTTATTCCTTACTAGAGTTATAAGTTATTGTCACCTTTCATTACATATATGTATATAAAACGTTATGTGTATACCGATTGCATTGTTCAATACTCAGAGCGCCCAGTAGGGCAAATGGGACCCGTACAAAATAAGAAAAAAATATGCAGATGATATATATATATATATATATATATATATATATATATATATATATATATATGTATATAACATATCCAAAAGTTCAGTTTGAATTAACAATCAATTTGTCTTTTTATGTACCTGGACTAACATAAATCTGATATTTTCCACTGTTAAAACTTGTGTATAATTATTTATGGGTTTTAATGATTAATCCTACTTTTTATTTATTTATTTATTATCACCTAAGTCCTTAAACTTTCAATTTCGTTGCGTACTATTGTTGCCAGTGACCTTTGATTTATTACAATATTGTAGATAACTCACTTTACCGTAAGTTGAATAAAATGTAATTATTTTTGTACTTGGTTTCTTTTGATTCCTATTTGTTCCGACGCTCTTTTACGTGCCGTAATACTTTAATAAAAAAATTTAAAAAAAAAAAGCACAAAAGCACATATTTTGCACATTATGCGAAAGTAGCATTGGTCGTCCTAATGTCTAATTTCCACTTTTACGCATTTCACATGGAGAAGAAACACAAAAATCGAATTGAAAGCATGAACATATTCAAGAACTGATAATTAATTCAAATTAATTGTTTTTGATAAATTTTTCAAAATTTTAGATCAGCCCAATATTTCATTTTCAAAGCTGGTTGACGATGAACAAAATTGTAATTTACTATTTTTAAAACAATTTATCGTTAAAGTAATTTTACCATCTCACTTTTCATTTTTTTTCTTTTCTTTAATAACCATAATCCAATAAGTGTCCACACTAGGCAAAGTAGTTCTCAAAGGCATTCGCCTAATGTATATGGATGAATATATGGAAGAAAATGATTTTTTTTTTTTTATATACGCAACTAGCATTTGGAAATTTTAAATGTGCAGTTTAAAAATGTGGTCTTTTCTTTTTTAGTTAACAAATATTTTTAAACGATGGATATTGCTCTTGGTAAAAATAGAATAACAAAAAAAAAAAGAGGGAAAATTTCCTCTGTCATAAGAGATATATCAAAGAGAAAGCATGGGAGATACCTATAAATAAATAGGCTGTGATAGTATGTCATTTGTGGGAAACGGGGTAATGCATGGTGTAGGGGGGAAATAGGGGGGAGTAGGAGGGTTACGGGGGGCTATGTTGGGGGGGGGCGTAATAGCTGCCTCACTGTGTCAACGCCGATCGTCAACAGAAACCCCCCTATCCTTCCTTACACAGGCGTATCTAGGCGGATTTCGGGCTGAGCTCCCCCTCCCCCCCCCCCAAAAATGGTTAAATATAATAAAATTATCTCTAAAAGTATTATTGCTCGTCTAATTACATTGAATGGTACCTAAACGCCATTTCATATAGGTACATAGTTTCTTTCTTTCTTAAGAAGTAATTATCGTTATATATATAAAATCTGTTTGGTTGAGGCCCCCCCCAAAAAATTAAATCATCGTCATGATTTTAACATACTTCTTACATAGTTGAATCCAAAGTTTCAAAGTTTCCTCTGAACCTTTGCAGTTGTTCATACCTTTTGGTTCAATTTATTACACTATTACTTATATTCCATTTACTCCTGAATCTTCCTTTAAAGTTTAAACGTCTAAATTATCCAAGAAATATTAGAGGGTACAGAAATCCTGTTGGATTTCATGAAAAGAATGGGATTTTACAATATTGCGGAAAAATTCGAAGTTAAAAAAGAATTGCCAATGACTATCGGGTAGAGGCAAATTCAATAAATAAATAAACATGAAAAAGAAAATATTAGTGATGTTACTCTTTGTCATTAATTATAATATTTTTATTTTATTTCATTTTATACAGGAACAAGTAACTGTTATTTAATTTTAAGTTTTGATAATATAGACAGTATACTAATAATTTTATTTCATACTACAGTATACTAATAATTTGTATAATTTATTAATAATTTGAATAATTTATTAATAATGTAAATAATTTATAATTAGTTTAAATAATTTATTAATAATTTATTAATACTAATAATAATTTTATATTATATACAATATACTAATAATTTTATACCTTTATGAGGTAGGTCGTCAGGCGGCGGAGGCCAATGAGGTGTGTGCTGCAGTCCTGGGTGGGGGATAGGTTGACCGTCACGGCACAGCCCTTGGAGCATTATCCTGAAATATAATAAACAAATTAATTTAATATTTGTTAAATTAATTAATAAACTAATTAATTTTTGCAGATTGGATATTATAAAGAATATTAATAATGGTGGCAAATTAACAATTAGGAATGAAATTATTGAGAGGAATCAGAAGTCTGGATATCCACAGATGTCACGTAAGTAGTATTGCCCAAAATAAATCATGGTCTTGTTCTACCTGTAAGAATGGTCTTGTTGCCTAATTGTAGAAAGACCATGACCAAGACTGGATCCTGCAAGATTTGATGAAGAACAATACTGACCTGCGAGACACTTGCGTCTTGCAGTCAAGTCAAACTGAGGCTTAGGGGTTGATTATTTCGTTTCAATATGGATATTGATAAAAGTTCCCTAGTATCAGTACCAAACCACGATCTCTTTCATCTAACAACAGATTTTGTCGTTAGAACACTAAAAGCAATAATATCGATTATTATATTTTGATATGTATGACGGCGCTTTAATATGTTAACCTTGCTTTGAATCTCAACAGCGTTGTTTTCCTTATTGAATTGTGTATCTGGACATGCTATCCAAATAATAACAAATAAATATATATTTGCCAGTACCGGAGCAAGGTAAACAAAAAAAAAAAATGAAAATAAAATAGCTACTAAACAAAAAAACAACATGGAAGAACCAATGTATTTTACGTGAGGATTTTACGAAGGATTTTGGATTGTAAGGATTGGATACGAGAGGAATTCGATGGCTTAGTGGAGCCCCAGAGCTCAATATGGTTGGACTTTACAATGTCTATGTCAATTTAATCTCTCAATGTGCCTACTCTGTTATGATGATCTAAGTTCTAATAGATAATTCCATTTGAACCCTTTAATAATGTAATCTGCTTTTGATTTACCCTTTGATACTGGGTGTTTCAGGGTTAAGTGGCCAAACTGAAAATATGAATTACGGACCTCAAAAAAAGAAAAAAAATGTCTATGAAGGTATGTCCGCAAACACTTTGTTTGGGAGATTTTCATTGTTATGAACTATTTATGTTATTTTAAGTAAATAAAACTTATTTATTTGGCCTACTTACTTTACTTACTACTTTATTAATTAAACATTAAACATTAAATTCAAATTAAATATTGTTCAAAGTGTTTTCCTTGAACATTAAGGCAGGCTCGGCATCTTTCTTCAACAGCAGCAGTGGCAGAACGGCACTGGATATGTGTTATTGTTATGAGTACTCTGCGAAAGCCTCTTACAAACTGATAAATGTTATTGAGAGTTCCCAATGCTGATTCCAAATAGTATTAATCGTTATGTTGCCAATAGTTATTATACAGTTAGAGATAAAAGGCCATATTAATATTCTATCTAATCCATCTCCTAAACAAAGCGTTTGCGGACACACCTTATTTCTAACAACATTTAATATGATTGTTAATGTTTACATTTAATTAATAAAATAGTTAGAACAAATAAATAGGGTTTATTTGTTTCATATAACGTAAATAATTCATTTTTTTATTTTATTGAAATTTACAACTGTATTACATGGAAAATACAATAAGTAAATGTGACATTGGTAACATGACATGTACAACATGAAGAGAAACTACCCATTGGTAGAACTCAAATTATTTTATTTTTTTAAATTTTATTTTATTGTGATTTACAACTGTATTACATGGAAAATACAATAAGTAAATGTGGCATTGGTAACATGACATGTACAACATGAAGAGAAACTACCCATTGGTAGAACTCAAATTAAAGTTCTATATTAGAAGGTCCCGAGGCCATCTTCTTTTCAAACGCCTCGGGGGATTATCAGGGATCGAGGAGGAAGCAAGGTTTGAAACAAGAGGATTCGGATGGTTCTGCAGTTTGTTATGGAAGGATAGATATCTGCATTGGAACTCAAATTAAAGTTCTATATTAGAAGGTCCCGAGGCCATCTTCTTTTCAGACGCCTCGGAGGGTTATCAGGGATCGAGGAGGAAGCAAGGTTTGAAACGAGAGGATTCGGATGGTTCTGCAGTTTGTTATGGAAGGATAGGTATCTGGATTGGGCCAAATCGGAAACATATGGAACATTAAGGTCTTTATGGATGATTTTATTTGTGACAAAGTAAGGAGCGTTGAGGATTTTACGAAGAATTTTGGATTGTAAGGATTGGATACAAGAGGAATTCGATGGTTTAGTGTAGCCCCAAAGCTCAATTCCGTAAGTCCAAATAGGTCTTATTATGGTCATGTATATGAGTCGTTTGTAATTGATTGTGAGATTAGAGCGTTTGTCTAGTAAGTGCTGTAGTAGTCGAAAACGTCGGGCGGTTTCTAGTCGTTTCAGTCTGGTATGGGGGTAAATAATTCATGAAATGTAAATATTTAGGTGTGCATATCTCCTAAACTAAGAATTTGTTTTCTCGTTTTGAGGTCCTTAATGCATATTTTCAGTTTGGCCACTTAACCCTAAGACACTCTATATAAATATTTTTGTAAATTGGTTTTGTTTATTTTATTTTTATTATCTTATTTTCTCCTTGTGTGCCTTTCTGCGTGGAGGAAGCCTCCAGCCACTTCGACCATACATCCCTGTCTCTCGCCAATTCCTTTATCTGACCGGGGGTTTTTCCTCTTTCCTCACCTATTCGCTGGATATGTTCCATTATTCTCGACCAACAAATTTAATTATATTTAAACTAACAGGGTTGATTATCGACAGGTTTTACACCTGATCTTCATAAGAACCAATCAGCCAATAATATGGTTCCTCATTCTTGTTAAGTTAGAATATTTCTTTTTATTTAACTTTAATTGTTTTCAAGATACTACTTAATGGTATCGGTTTATTATTCGTTGTGTTCAATACCTGACTTACAAAACAAATTATATATATTTTTAATTAACTGCTAAGGATGGATCAAGTGTGTGGGGGAAAGTACGACCAACCTGTTGTGGGGAGTGAGGACCACCAGTACAGGCACTCAAGATGGACCTGAATAGACGAACTAAGTGTGAATGAGAGAAGGAACAGAAAAGAGATCTCGGCCCAGATCGGCTTTCTATTAAATATCTGGCAAAGAGCATTGGCTGAAGGGTCCTCTGCCACCTTTTCACTATCATACTAATTACCAAGCCCTAGAGGCTCTCTTTAAGCCTCTTACATTTAATTAGCGTATTTTTCAATTTTCCCCCCCTCCCTGTCCTTTCACGGCTCTGAATTCACTGAATACTCCACACCGGGTGCTCTCTCTCACTCTTTCTCTCTCTCTCACTTTTTTTCTCTATTGATTCCCGATCGCGCGGAAGTCTGTCGAGTGAGATTTTCCCTTTTGGTGAAGGAAGAATGGCTCCCCGCATTGATAAAAAGTATAAATAATAACGAGCATCAGTTCATGATAAATCTCAGAAATTAAAAAAAAAATAATTAGAACCTTTGAAAATACATTGACAGCTTTACCACTCCTCCAACGCCGCACGAAACACTCATGATGGCGACTTGGTTCTGGTGAGAGTTCCACCACTGATTCACATTCTTGATTCATTCTCATCCGTCCAGTTTTACGGGTGTTGAATCCTATAGACGAAATTTACAAAAGGGGCGACTTGATGTTTCTGCTCCGCCATCAAGAAAGTACAAGCATGAGAAAATAAATTTTTATAAATTCAATTTTCACTCAAACGCTACCAAATAATATAACACAAGCTGATATTTTATGCAGTTATAAAGTAATTAATTAATTACTTTTACATGATGTTGAAGATACGAGATATGATGCATACCTGCTACCAATAGGATCATGTTAACAAGAGACAAAAAAAATTATATATATGATACACAATAATGGTATAATAGCCAAATTATAATCAACTCGGGGGTGGAAAAGGGGGGGTGGGGGGAGGTGGAACTGATTCGGGGTCGATGAAACCTGGCTTTTGAGAGGCTGACCGCAAGCCTACGGTTGCCATGGAACACCTAATTCCCACTCACTCAATTTCACAATCTCCCTTTGTCCTCCTATCTTTATCTCTATCTGGCTAAACGTTAAAATTTATTAAACTAATAGGGTCTCGAATTCTCGGTTAAGCAAATAAAGTTTTATTCGCCTTTCGGTAACCTTTGATTATATCCCTCTTACTATGTCGGAAAGAACCGCTGCTTAGGACTTCCTGGATGTTTCTAAACCCCCTGCTGTCTCTCAGTGCAGAATCCAGTGACTGCCAATTCCAGCATAGGCTTCTGATTTTGATTGGTTGCGGAGAAAGATGGACCAATATAAAAAAAAGCCTGTTTTTATTACGTGTAAACATTATTGTGAAACGAACCAATATAGAATGTAATATTTAAAATTAAGTTGTTTATATGTTTGTATAGTTGTAAGCATTTTATTAATTTTTTTGTTTTACTTATTATATATATATATATATATATATATATATATATATATATATATATATATATATATATATAAATATATATATATAAAGCCTGTACCACTACAATCCATGAAGGGTCTTGGGTTCAGTACTATTTAGAGGAAGCACTGTTTCTTGGTCTACGGTTGTGCAAGGAGGTGATTTGGCCGAGATCATGCTTAACCTACAGGTTTTCCTTCTTAATTAAATATTTAATTTCACCTGTCATTTATTTAATTTTTAATATAATATTGGTTTATTAAACGATTATTAACAGGCCAGTTAAAAAAATCAATATTTTATTTTTGTTATTATTATATTATTATTAGGTACAGACGAGTGTGTGTGTGTGTGTGTGTTATTGATATTTCTTGCTAAGAGTGTGTGTAGAGATAAACCCGGCCAGGTGCAGAGTCTATCAGCAGCTGCTTTTAACCCCATACATTTTCTCCCTCTCATATATTTTTTTCATTCCCTCTTAGTTATTCTATTTTGTAAAGGAAAAGATCTTTTATGTCAAAATACAATCTTTTTATCGTTTTCCTAATTTAATTTAATAAATTCTAGTAGAAAAATAAATGACGAGAAAA